AATTCGTCCCACGTTGTTTTTGCTCTTCGTGAACATACTTCCATCCACTTCAACGATCATTCCAGATCCTCCTGTTTTCGTTGTTAACGTTTAAGTAAAGAATCCATACAAACCTCGCGCATATAGTTATCCCAATCCACAACTGTTCCGTGACTGAATTCCAATTCGCACAATTTAACTGAAATTAATTCTTAATAATTAATTCTTAATTAATAAATCTCACACGCTTCAAAAAACTCAATCTCGATGACTCAAACCATGTGCCTTTACCATGTTCTTTTACTGCGTCAAATTAAAAGGTTGCAGCGCCATTGAATTTCGTGTCCGATATATAATTCCATTTCATGATTATTATCACAGATAGCAATTTTAGGCAAAACGCCTTTCGCTTGAAAGAATCTCACAGATACTTCCTCTGTCCTGGGTAAATCCCAAATTTTCATTGGATTTTCATACATTTTTAACATATTTGTAAAAAGACGCTAATTTAAGAATTTACTATGCTTTCATGGTACAACATCCTGATTTGCTGGTTTAAATCACGTGATCCCCAAGTAATCTCATCACACGTAAACTACGCCACAAACAAAAATCTGATTCTCTCAGTAATTATTTACATTAATATGAGGTGCTTTTCCGTTTTGTCGGGGCAGGCGATAAACTCGCCAATAATGGTACTACTGATGCCAAACAGAATATCCTCGATGGTAACCTTTAACGAATCATTTTCAAAACAAGTCACAGCCATTTCTTATCAGATTGATTGTTTCTTTCAATATTGGCACACAATTATGTAGAAATTTTACCAGATAGTTCAAAATGTATACCCTAAGGTCATTTGCGGTAATTATGTCAATTACGATGCTCACCCAAAGACGAAAATATAGAAGACGAAGTCAAGGGTTAATTTATCAATTCTAATTATGAATACACTAGCGAAGTAAAGCACTGCGGTTGTTCAAAATTTCTCACCAAATTTGTTACCTCAAGAACTATTTATTACTCGGAAATAACTATCTATATCTCTTTAGTTATTTATGACTCTACAATAATTAAATAATTCCTTTACTCATACTCTCAAATGAGGAAAACAAAAGTTACACTTAACTCTCTAAAAAAGAACAACATCATAGTATGTTGCCATTCTCTGAAACATAAACTGTTACAAAACATAGATAATAATAATATGAATAGATAATGAATAAAAAAACCTATAGAGTAAAGAAAACGATTACATCTGCTTGAAGCTCGTGCAATATTACTCAGAAGCTGCAGTTACAAAAAAATATAAACAAAAATATTAGAGTCAAAATATGTTCATTCATCCTCCCACCTTGCAATATGAAATTCGGGATTGAGTATTGCAAAATAATAAAAAATTAAACATTGTTCTCACAAGTCCAATCGATGAGGAACTCTAATTGTCCTTCCTGATTTGGTTATCGTGGGCGATTTTAAATGGGTATGGATTATTCTATTTGTTTCTACAGGTACATTATCAATTGGAGTTTGCTCTACTCTACCGAAATATTTTCGCATCGTTGACTTCCGCTGAATTTCGATGGAAGTTCCTCGGCAGTCGATAATTCCAAAGGATAAAGATTTTGTACAGCTCTTATGACTTCTCCATTTTGCACTTTAATTCTGGCTCGTCGACTTTCACCGTCGGTACCTGGAAATAATTGTATGATTTTACCAAGAGGCCAATTTAATCTCCTTTTGTCATCGCTTCCAATTAAGACAATGTCTCCTTCTTTTAATTTACAACTTCTAGCGAATTTTTTGCTTGTTGTTTTCAAAGTTCCCAGATATTCCTGGCGAAATCTTTTCTTGAAAACCTGGTTAACATTTTGGATATAACGCAATCTACGTTTATAAAAGCTAGAATTGAAGTCATGTTTCACAATTGGCACTGAATAGTTTTGTATTTCTCGTAAAAAATTTCCAGGTGTTATGGAAGTGAGACTTGAATCAGCCGATACAACTGTTAAAGGTCTATCATTTAGGATAGCTTCACAGTTACATAAAACGGTACACATTTCCTCATAACTAAGGCAGGCTCTCCCAAGAACTTTTCTTAATATTCTTTTCATCATTCCTATGAGGCGTTTCCACCAGCCACCCCACCATGGAGTGCCAGGGGGAATGAACTTCCAAATAATCGTTCATTAGCTCCTTTTTTTGCAATTTCATTGAAATCGATTGAAGCAAGTGCATTGCATGCTCCAACAAAATTTGTTCCATTATCAGTATAAATTATGGATGGCTTCCCACGTCTAGCAGAAAAACGATGAAACGCTTGTAGAAATGTATCTGTCGTTAAGGATGTAACCAGTTCCAAATGAACACAACGGTACACTGCGCAAGTGAATAGGCAAATCCATGCCTTCTTGTAGTCTCTTAGAAATATAGGTCCAGCATAATCTATGCCGGTTATTTGAAACACTGAGGCATCCTGTACCCGATCTCTAGGAAGTGGTGGCGCTGGTGGGTTAACATTTTTGTTTGAATAACGCTTACAGGTTATACAAGTTTTCAAAACGGATGACACAACTCTTCTTCCAGCTAATATCCAAAATCTTTCTCTTAAGGAATTTAGGACGTGAGAAACTCCAACATGTCCTTTCAACTTATGTTCTTCCATTATTAAACTTTTATAAGAGGATGATCACTTGGCAAAATAGCAGGAGTTCTGAACTCAGATGTATCTTCTCTTTGAAATATTCGCTGTTTTAGTTCTGATGATCCCACAATCAATGAATGGATTAAGACTTAAAATCCGTTTATCTTCTATTCCATTAAAGGACTCATTTTGTATTAAACGAATCAAGATATTCTCTGCTTCATTTAACTCAGATACAGTAAGTTCACCTTTTTTTCTTGTTTTGATGTTTACAGTTGTAAACAAAACAACACATCCACGCTACCAGTCTGATTGTCTTACGATAACTTGAGAATCTAGTAGCAACTATTTCACTAGCATTAAGATTTATTAAGGACGAAATAATCCTTTTCTTTTTCTCAAGAGCTATTTCTTCTTCATCAGCACTAAAATCTTCTTTTGGCCATTTTTCAGGTGATAAATATAGCCATTTAGGTCCTTCCCACCATCTGGATTTAATTAAATAAGAAGCAGAGCATCCTCTACTGGGCAAATCAGCAGGATTCAGTGATCCTGGTACGTGCCTCCAGGATTCAATAGAAGTCAGTTGCTTTATTTCCTTAATTCTGTTGTGAACAAATACGTCCCATACTTCATTTCTCTGTATCCAAGCTAGCACAGTAGACGAATCTGTCCAAAAATAAATATCATCAGCTTGAAATTCAGGTATTATGCTGGATGCTAAACGTGCACATATTGTAGCTCCAAGAAGTTCCAATCGAGCTATTGTTGTCTTTTTTCCTTCCGCTGGGTGCAACTCTCGCTTTAGCTTGCACCAAATGAACTTGAACCGAATCTCTTGTTTGTACTCGAACAAAGGCCACAGCTGAATATGCAAGTTTACTCGCATCTCTGAAGAAATGAAGTGAGATTGAGATATTTTCAATCTCTTGATCACAGTTTAACCATCTTGGTATTCTCATTCTTTCCAGACACTGCAAATCATTCAACCATTTACAAAATTGTGATTTTGAATTTAAATCAACTTCTTGGTCCCAAGATAACTTAACTTCCCATAGGTGCTGAAGTAAAAGTTTCGGCACAAGAGTTACGGGGCAAGCTATTCCTAAAGGGTCGAATATTTTGTGTGTAGTAGCTAAAATCTCTCTTTTAGACAAAATTTCTGGTAGACTGTAGGTGATGTTAGTAATATTAAGGCAAAGGTAATCTCCACATCGTTCCCAAATCATTCCTAATACATTTGTGGTACTAGAGGAATTATCTGTTGGGTCACTATATTCCCAACCACGTAATTCTAGCTTTCTTGTAGCTAAAGTATCTGAAGCAACTTGTATGAATTGTTGCAATTCTAAATCATTTTTCACACTCGCTAAACAATTATCTACATAAAAGCTCTTCTTCAATTGCTCAATAATATCCACTTTATACTTTGGGTTTCCATTTAGTTGTTTCAAAGTGGATTCTAGAAGATGGTGAATTACAGAAACTAGCAAGAAAGGGCTGCTTGTAACTCCAAATACTACCCTACAATGCCTGTAATACTTCAGTTTTCCATCAGTTCTATACCATAAGAATCTTAGATAGTCTTTATCCTTAGGGTTGAGACTTATTTGTAAGAATGCTTTTCGTATATCTGCAGAAACTCCTATTCTGTTCATTCGGAATCTATGAAGAATTGAAGGAATCAGTTCGATAAGGTTCTGACCTTTTTCTAGACAATCATTGAGACTAGGGGATCCTTTTTGTTTGGCCGAGGCATCAAACACTGGCCTGATTCGTGTAGTACTGTTTTCTTTTACTACGTGTCGATGTGGTAGATAATGGCATGTTACATCAATTTCGCTTTTTGGTACTTCTTCTATGATGCCTTCTTGTTCCCATTCACTAAAAACTTCTCCATAAGCATCATAAAGTTTCTCAGCTTTTAGTCGTTTTACTGTAGAAGCTAATCTCTTTACAGCTAAGTCATAGTTATCTTTTAACGGTAGATGGTTATCAAGCCATGGCAAGCTGACTTGAAAACGCCCCTCTTCGTTCACCTTTACAGTAGACAAGAAATGATCTCTTGCTTCTTCTTGAAGTTCCAGTTTACTTTTCTTCTCTGATGGATCTAGAATTCCAAGTGAATCTAGAGACCATAGATCGGATATCAATATTTCCTTATTCAACATGGATGTGACGAGCAGTGCGGAATTGTCCGAGATCTCACGCATACCATTTTTTCCCGAAAAGAGTCCAACCAAGTTTTGTTTCTATAGCAGCAAGGCCTGAAGTAAGCAATTTAAATCCTCCGGTCATCAACTTGCCTGCAATGTCAGCGCCAATAAGTATTTCTATTGGTCCATTACTATCGTCGCATACGGATATATTGTTCTCTTTAAGCTCTTCGAATCCACTCGCCATTAGCAACTGGTGGTATACTTCCACAAATAATATCTTGGCTAAGAGCTTTGAAGTTACAATGATAAGTTCCATCCGTTTTAGACAAGAACACTGTAAAAACATCGTGGTTTATGACATCAGTACATGACCCGCCAAATAATGAATGGCTCAATCTTTCTTTAGATGTACTCTCAAATTTCATTTCATCTGCAGTGCTTTTTAAAATATAAGATCTCTGTGAAGCTGAATCGATAATAGCACGGGCCTGGCGCTTTCTATCTCGCCCTTTCAATGTAACCGTTAAAGTTTGCAAAAACACATTTGTTGTTCTCGCCAAATTGGCGAGGGTTTCATCTCGTTCAGGTACTGCATCCGTATTTTCATCCTTATTCGTGCTAACAGGAACTGGAGATTTTGATTCAGCTTGGATATTTCTACATAAAAGTATGTGGTGTTTTTTCTTCCCACAAATCACACACGATGTTCGTTTTTTACATTTAGCTATTACATGTTTTCTGTCTAAACATAAAAAGCAACTGCGACTATTTAGAACTGCTTTTTGCCTTTCCTCAGACGTCATCTTTCTTGCTTTAACGCAATCACCAGATGCATGATTTCCAGCACAAAAAATACATCCAGTTGAATTTTGTTCAGATGTTGCTATTAGAGTAGAAGCAGAAGGTGTTTTGGAAAATTCTCCACGGTTTTTGAAACCAAAGTGTTTAGCATTCCCAGGCTTAGGTGTCTGATATTTAGTAAAGCACTGAGTAGCTATAGATACTCTCTCTTCACCTTCAATTTCATCGAGCAAAAATGAAAGCAAACCATCTAAATCCATGCGATGTGTTGACGCATTTTTCTCTTTTTGCTCACTACTTTCAGATTCTCTCTGACTGCGATTAATAACTCGGAATCTTTGCCATGCTCTTAATGTATCATCCGGCAATGACGATTCGACTAGAGGATATATAACATCGCCGCATATTTATCTCTAGCAACACCCAGAACTTCTAACGCTCTTAGTTTCGATTCTAAAGTTATCATAGAGTTTTTCGTAATGAAAATTTCTGCTGAGAGTTTTTTAATAATACTAACGAAAGTAGATCTCTAACATAGACTTCTATAAGAAGGTCTTCTTTCCCAAAACGCGATTGCAGTTGTTCTAAAGCTTTACTATAACTTTCGCCACCGGGCGGAAAGCTTTTGATTAACTCTTCAGCAGATGACCCTTTTTCCATAGACTGCAATAAATATGCAAATTTATCATGATCATCTAAATTGGGATCATTATCGATCTTTTTAAACTGGCCCCAAAATCCTAACCAGCTTTTAATATTCCCATCAAAAATCGGAAGTTTAAGCTTAGGATAACGATATAGTAGCATTTTGAGTTAAGCTTTCATTAACAACAGAACCGTTTTCCTTTTCAGCTAAAAGCGAAACTAATTTGCTTTCTACCATTCTCCACTTATCAATATAGCATTCCGACTCATCAAACTCGTTATTTATCACAGTTTCATCTTTTTCAATTTTTAATCAATTCTTCTCTATAAGTCTGTTCTATTTCAATCATAGGTTTTGCTTTGTCCTCAACTAATTTAAGTTTCGAAATTTTTCCGTCTAAAGATAAATCATTTTCATTCTTCTCAAAATCATTTAAAGCTTTTGTAAACAATCTCCTAAATTGAGATCGTTTGCACTTCAAAACATCCATTATAAATAAACGAAAGAATTCTACTTACAGATAACAGTCCAGTCAGCGGACGCCAAATGTTCAAAAAATTCTCACCAAATTTGTTACCTCAAGAACTATTTATTACTCGAAAATAACTATCTATATCTCTTTAGTTAGTTATTTAAGACTCTACAATAATTAAATAGTTCCTTTATTCATACTCTCAAATGATGAAAACAAAAGTTACACTTAACTCTCTAAAAAGAACAACAACATCATAGTATATGTTGCCATTCTCTGAAACATAAACTGTTACAAAACATAGATAATAATAATATGAATAGATAATGAATAAAAAAAACCTATAGAGTAAAGAAAACGATTACATCTGCTTGAAGCTCGTGCAATATTACTCAGAAGCTGCAGTTACAAAAAAAAATATAAACAAAAATATTAGAGTCAAAATATTGTTCACCGCCAAATAAACCCAAATCTAATGATTACCGCGAAATAAACGAAATCAGCTTAACCTCGAAACTGATTCACACGTTTAAACGCCTTTTTAACTTTAAATTTACATCCTGGCGAGAGAATGTGAGAAGTTGAGAACAGGTAAACATAAAATAAATTTGTTATGCAAATTAAGAAAAACCCTACAGTTTCCCTCGCCAGAATTTAACTATCGCATAAGAAGACTTTAAAAGCCTGGATAAGATAGCTAAATTCTAAATCTACAAGTGAGTTCACCTTTACAATCTTAAACTATATCTTAACTAAATTTAAGATTTTAGAAGGACAATGTGGCACATAGTTACAATAATTTCCTTCTTTAGCAAATCTTGTTCTGTCTCCTTCCAGAAAAAAAGTTTAGTACGTGCTTATATACATCTTACATTTGCCACATATATATATTAACAGCTCAACCTTTTCTACATTTACTCAATTCAATCTTTCTAAATAACATTGAAACTCCCTCTTGTTCTCCAGTATTGTGTACCGTAAAATATGAGCGTGCTTTATGTAAAAAGAGTACAACACTTACCGACTACTCCACATTTACTTGTTAGAATTAAACGACCTATACCTAGACAGACACCTTACAAGCAAATCTCAGCCTGAGGTGCTAACGCTAGTAAAAATTAACTTAGTGTTGTCTGGAGAGCCTAACCTTTTAAATTACATTCTTTCTCAAATTATCTTAACTTCTTTTTAGTACTTATCATTTATAACATAGACTACTCTTTCATTCGAAACACAATTTCAAGCACACAAATTATTGTTACGGATTTGACATTTAAATAGCTAATTTTAGCTGAATTGCAAATTAAATGGTTTTATTTCCCGCGCAGTGACGAATATTAAAAGAAAGCTAAGCCGGAAAATTGAAAATACAAGAGCGCGTGCATGTAACATTTAATAAATATCTTTTTTTGATTTCGAGAAAGATCCAGAAAGTTCTCGCGTGCGATTTAAAAATCTTATAAAAAGAAGGAAAACCTCTCAATTCAGTCAAAATACCAAATCCGTAACAGTATATTGGTGGCAGCATTCTGAGCTGTGACTCCGAGCTAGTAGTTTGTGCTGTGGTTACGCTTAAGATTTTCGGATACTGACCCAGTCCCGTAGGCGGTCGGTGATTATACCCTTGACTGATTAGTTACCTTCGGGTGGAAAATGTCCTTTTATAGGATACAACTCGATACTTCTGATGAAGAGGACTACCGAAGCAAACGTTCGTCCAAACCCAACAAGACCTATCCATTGAAGAAAGAGGATTTTATCCTTATGGCCAAAGAAAAGAAAAGTAAAGCGAAAAAGGCGAAAACTATGTCAGATACGGAAAGCGAACAACCAAGTAAGAAGAAAGATGTTAAACCTGGTAAGGAAAAAGAACATTCAAACACCGAATGGAGAAGCTACTGATGAACAGACACCAGAAGATTTATCAATGGGAAATGATGAGGACATCCCAAAATTCAAGTCATGTTCTGAAGAAGAAATCCGGGACAGTGATAGAGTAAAGAAAAAATTGGAAAACCCACCCACAGAGTACAAAGATATCATAAACTGGATCCAAGATCCTAAAATCAAAAAATTTCTGAACAGTATGGTTGAGCACGTTGAGAAGATCCGCGCTGCAAAAACCACGGCTGAGAAGTTTACTGCCGGGTTCAACCCTTTAACCGGTTAAGACGTGTTTAACCCATCAACGAGCCCGCCTCTCGGAACGAAATGCTTCGAAAACGGTCGCGTTGTCAGACAACAAACCTCTCCAAAAAATCGCTTTCGTTTTCTGAAATCTCTCTAAGATGGCCCAGCCTAAGGCAGTATGTTTGCTTCCCCTTAATGTGATGGATAAGCCATAAAATTGCCTCCCCGCTATTGAATGCCAAGAAGTAGTTGTTCCGTTTAGTTTCGTCTCCCTCCTCTTTCTTTGTACTAGTAGCCTGTAGACTTGTTTCTTTTAACATGTGACTGCCGAATTTTTCCGAAATCTTTTTAGAATTTTAGCTTCCAAGCTTGTGAACATTCAATTATTCGACATGTTTTTATTGGGCAGTATTTTAAGAAAGATCATTATTTATTTTGTTACACAATTTTTTACTATTTACTTATCTATTTTTATTTAGTTTTAGTAAACCAATTTATTTTGGGAAATTAAATTTTAATCCATTCTTTTTACCGACTCAGTTTTCATCACATTATAAGTCCATACATATTTACGATGAGAGTACAATATTTATCAGAAATTTTTGGAAATTTCGCATATGCATTTATATTTTAGCGTTGAATTTTTTTCACAAGTTGTTCGTTTACTGTCGAGCTCATCTTCGTCTTTTCAGCGTGTAATTGGCAAGCATAATCTTCCTAATATTTTTCGGGATTTTATAGCAATTTCTAGAATTTTGGCGGTTTTCTACAAATATTTTGGTAAGTTTAGCTATTATACAGTTGCTACTAATGTAGAATTTAAAGCCAAAAATGTATTACTTCGTTGATT